CATCACCCCACGGAAAAGGCTGAAAATTTTTTTAAAAATAAAAAGCACAGTATATGTGTCAACTAGCAGAATCAGGCGGTTAGCAAAATGTTCACACTTTACCTTTGTTCGGATAGCCCGATATTCGTAAGGAATATATTCAGGTCTCCCTCTTTCCAATTCTTCTTCATGGACAACGTGAGCTCGATATGCACCAAACGCCAGTGCGGGAAGGCAAATGAATAGAAAAACCTTCCGGTAAATAGGATCCGATTCTTAACAAACAAAAAATAAGAAAGTATTAGATGTCCTAATTCAATGTCTTAAAATAACCCCAAAAATGAAAAGGATTATGGACTCCAGTCCAGACTTCTTACTTGCAGCAGCCTGCCTTTGCTTCAGCCAGTGGAGACCATTAGATCCAAATTCGTCCATGGTTGAAGAACGACGTGAAAACTGAGAAACAACCTTGAGCGGCTTCAAAGTTTGATTAGTTAGCAAACGCTGCATTCCTGTAAAACTTGACTTTAATATATATCGCAAGATATTTCAGCCTAAAGTGTCGTAACTAATATTATCAAATAACCGCCGCTTTCATAAACTTAGATGACAACGAAGCAAACCAGAGTCGGACATTAATTCAGTAAAAGCACTAAAGTATAAAAACCGAAGCTGAGGATGAGAAAAACAAAGGCCATCAGAATAACAATGTCATTTGGTGACTGATAAGTGCGAAAGAAAACTCATTAGATATCTACACATAACTTATCATATCGAACAGTAAAATGCTACTGAACCAGTTTATAAAACAATATCAAGCAGAGCAGAAACCAACCGAGAGGACTGTGAAAACGTCTACGAGATCAAATGAAATTGCACTGTCCACTGGTGTAACGATAATATACGGACTCTCTAACAACAATAAAATAACACCAACAATCCGCAGCGACCTCTCCGTTGGCTAAATTCCAACTTCTTCAAAACGTCCTGTTCACGTGACGTACGTCCCGAGCACCGAGACTCCGAAACTACCAGCTATATGTCAACCTCTGGTGTCAGTTGGAGTGGTGCATCTTATTTCTTAATACCATCATGTGGACTTCAAGTTCTTTAGAAGTCTCAAGAAGTTGTGAATTGAGTCAGACGCTCGTCAGTTTGGGAAGATTCATTTTAAATTATTTAACTTCAAAAAAATTTAGAAGATGATTTGTTAGTTATTAAAATCAGAATGCGAGATGGTAAATCGGCAGCGATTACTGCAGCCGTGAGGGCGTTCTGTTCAGGTGGTGTTCTTTGTATAATTAAGCGGTAGAATTTAAGGCATCATCTTATGAGTGATCAGCAGACATTGAAGCCAAATAAGGATGGTGTTAATTTTAATGTTTATTAACTGAGAGGCATCAAAATTGTAATTGCATGGGAAGTAATAGATTCTGTGGAGTTTTTAGGAGGTGGAAAAATATTTGAATGTTGAAGGGAAATTTCTTTCTTCTGTCTTCCAGGAATAATCACTCTAATAAAGCGTGTTTAATAATAAATTTCAAACATAGCTAACAGTAAAAAATCATAAAAAAGTTAAAACTTTGTTCGCTGTCAGCGAAAAATGCCATGAGCATTTCTAATTAGTCATGGTGCAACGTCAAGAGCAGTTTTATCGGCTTCGACAACTAATTCTAATTGTCACAAGGAGCAGTGTTAATTGGGAAGTTACTTGCGGATTATACAGCTTCCTTCGTCTTGAAAATTTTAAAGATTGTAACTGTAAATAAAAGGTTACGCTGATTATGCGGCAAATTTAACGTTCAGATTTCCGGTTACATTACATCTGACATTTTCCAGAAGCGCAAGATAAGCGGAAACTGAATCAAGAGCTCAGTTTTTTCAGGCTAGTTTGGGCTAAAAGTGTACATCTGTTAGGTATCCATATGTGATAGTCAGTACTGTTGCAAAAATACTGAACGAGAATTGCTCAGTATATGCTATTTTCAGATTAGAATTCTAGTGACACATAGCTAACATTGAGGAGTAAAGAGATGGAAGTATTAGCGTCGGTGGTTCAGTGGTAGAATGCTC